TTAAAGGCGCTTCTCTGTGGCACAGTGTTTCTTCAGGCCATTACATGATAGTGTACTGACAGAATGGAGGTGACTCATGGATTTTGGGAGATTCAGACTCATGTGGGAGAGATAATAAAGCATCAGCCAAATTACCATACCTCTCCTGGGCCCATGAATTTTGTAATACAGTTTTAAATTAAAGTTTTTATCCACAGTTCTGCTGTGTAGGTTTCCAAATGTACAGCTTTTTTTTTTTTTTTTAAGATTTTATTTATTTGACAGAGAGAGACACAGCAAGAGAGGGGACACAAGCAGGGTGAGTGGGAGAGGGAGAAGCCAGCTTCCTGCTGAGCAGAGAGCCAGATGGTCTCTACCCGAGAACCCTGGGATCATGACCTGAGCCGACGCCCAAGGACTAAGCTACCCGGGCACCCAATTGTGCATTCTTCTGAGGATCTTAAGTACATCACTGCAGTTTGAACAAAACTTTCCAATCATATATGAGCTAGGTTGACTGTTACTGTAGACAAAACTAATAGCAGCTTAAATAACAATATTTTCTGATGCCGGACTCCTGAAAGGTAAACTCTAGCCCCAGTGTGGGAATGCATGTTACCGCCCAAGAACTAGACAACACGAACTTAGCCCCATTACCATTGTGGAATCTATAGCACCCCATCTCCCAAAAATCGCAAGCACTTCCGGCCAAGGAGGATGGGAATGGGGCCGGTGTTCTCCGGCTTTCTGGGAAATGTAGTCCGTCAGTTAGGTAGAGACTTGGCTACTTCCGCAAGGCGGCCGGGAAAGAGGAATTCTGGGTAGTAGAGCTCCAGCGCAGCCTGGGGGCGGGGCGGTCTCAGGCACTTCCGCTCACGTGGCCGGGTTGTCGCGGGTTCCTTTGCGGGCTTTCCTGTGGCTGTGGTGAGTGGGTTCTGGATTCGGAACCCTCCTGAACTTCCTTGGGTGCCAGTACCGCTGGTCATTGTTTTGGGTAAAGAGCTCCGCGCGAGAGAGGGGACTTGAGGGCTGGAGTGGCTTTCCCTTCAGGAACCCTCTTGGCGTTTGGGGCGGTTGAGCAGCGTATGGCCTGGTGGAGGGTCTCCCGGGCTCTCCGCCTGCAGTCCTGGCTCCCCAGGCCGCACACCTTTCCCTCGCTCTGCCCTTTTCGCGCGGTTGAACATTGGGCCACTTACTTAAATTTCCCTGGCTCTAGTGGGGGCGTGTGTGTGTGTGTGTGTGTGTGTGTGTGTGTGTGTGTTTATAGTTGATGTTTTCTATAAAATTGGGATGACATCCTACCTTCCTATAATCCAGTGGTTTGAGAATCAAACGAGATAGTATGAATAAAAGTCTTAAGGACAGTTCCTGCCCCGTGGTGAATAGTGGTCTTTTGGTATTAGACTCTTGAATTTTGTTAAGTGCTTAGTAACCAGACAGCCACCAATATCGTAGCTGCAAGAAGTCCTGGCACTTCTTTTTGATCCCTCTAGGAAGCTTGATCGTCCCGAACCCCTTCTGAGGTTACTCCTGTGAAAATTAATAAAAGGAAACCAGCTTTAGAGTGGAGTCAGAGGCTGGCAGGGGAAAGCCCTCCTACCCTACCTCTTGTCAGTTGCGGACCCACTTGGAAGAGACCACCTGATACTATTTTAGCTATTAGTTACTATCCCAGATGGAGGAAGAACGACTTTCCTGCCCCTGCGTCAGCCCAGCCAATGAGAAATTGTCAAAACTCAGCCAATGAAGAGCGACTATATTTCCAAGCCGCAGTTTACTCCATTGGACTTTTTTGTTTAGGACAGCATTCTTAATTTCTCCCTTTCCCCTGTAAAGGAGGGTTCCTCTCCTTTGTTCTGTGGACTTGCCTATGGTTTTTGCCATATCTTGCTTGTTCTGGTTTGCAGTTCTCTGCTGTTCCAGTAAAACAACTGGCAGTTTTATTTTGAAGGTTAAGCCTCCCAAACCATTTCCAGCTGGAAAGGAGGAGAGGTGGAGCGGGGACAGAATATCTCCGATTTCTCAGGGACAAAGACAGAATTATGGTATTTCAGAGCCTCCTTTCTTTCCTTGGCCTTTATCTCAAAAAAGACTGCATTTCTTGTTGCACTGTTGTCAATAAGTAGTTATGTCTGAAAATTGCTGATATTCTTGCAATTTTTATGAGTTGAAAACACCAAGGCCTCGCTGCTGCCAGCTGTCAACTGTTCTTGCATTTTTTTTCCTTCACACATCCCTTTTTTTCCCCAAAGAATTAGAGATTGTGCTGTAGACGATACCTCTTTTTCCCTAAATGTTTGCATTGTTAACAAAAATTGAGTAAATTTCAAGACTTAATTGACTTTATTAAATGATTCATAAACTGGGCAGCATCCCATAAAGCAAGTAGAAGGCAGCTCCCAGGAGTTGTACAAAATGGAAGGTTTTTGTAGGAAGGAGGATGGGGCAAGGAAGTTATTAATAGCAAGAGGAAAGAAAGGATTGTTTTAGGCAGGGTCACTTTCCCTTGGAGGAAAAAGCAAGGGATCTTATGCAGATTACCTCATCTTGAAGGCAGGGAGAAGGCCTGGGTGTTAGATTAACTTCATAGGTGCTTATCAGGAAATTCCTGAGTGACTGGTTAAGACCGTGTTTCTGGGGGGAGGTTGAAATTGCAATTAGGTTAGGCATTAAGCCCTGGTGGGTGATTTGGCCTAAGTAATGCCATTTTAGTCCTGCGTTTTTCCTTTAAACAGTGTTTACTTTCTAGGAATCAGGATAATCTTTTCTATAATCACAGTATCTAGATCAAAGTCAGAAAATTACATTGTTAATCTGCTGTTATCTGACCCTCAGTCCAAACTTAAATGTGTTCTGTTTTTCATTTAAAATCCTTATATCTGGGGGCACCTGGGTGGCTCAGCAGGTTAAAGCCTCTGCCTTCGGCTCAGGTCATGATCCCAGGGTCCTGGGATCGAGCCCCGAGTTGGGCTCTCTGCTCAGCAGGGAGCCTGCTTCCTCCTCTCTCTCTCTCTCTCTCTGCCTGCCTCTCTGCCTACTTGTGATCTCTGTGTGTCAAATAAATAAATAAAATCTTTAAAAAAAAAAAAACTTAAAAAAAAATAAAATCCTTATATCTGTTTCCCCCGATTAAAGCCATTTTTGTGGGCTGCCTTTTGCTGTCATGTTTTCTGTTGTGTCCTTTAATCCGAAATGATTCCTCCTCCTTCGTTATTTTGTTCGTGATATTTTTGTTCATGATGTGGAGGCAGGAAATATCAGAGAAAGTCCATCTTTTGAATTTTATGTGATAGACCTCACAGTTTGCGGATTATGCATTGTTGGCTGCAATTCCACAGAGCTGGTGAGGTGGCCTTTTTAGTCAGCATAACAAGAGCTGAAGGACGTATTTTGGTTTTTATATTGGTGATGCCAATTTTGTTCACTTAGCGAAGGAGAGCTCTGTGCCATTTTACCACCGAAGTCTCTGTTTCTTTTTGTGATTAAAGTTTCCTGTGGGCAGACATGTTTTATTAGTGGGCTTTCTGTTGTATAGATCACCATCTGCTTTCCTCCTGCTTCTTTTTTCATTCCTTCAAATATAAATTATATACAGACTTTGAGTCCAGGTTTGTTAATTTAAATGAGATGTTGCTTATCAGACGATGCTCTGTTTTACATTTCAAAATTTTCCCTTTGCGTGTGTGCAGTTGAGTGATTTTTGTAACATTGAGTGGTGCAGCTGTCACCATAATTCAATTTTAGAACATTTTCATTCTTACAGTAAGACCCCTTGTTACCGTTTATAGTTAATCCGTGTTCTCAACAACCCCAGACAACCACTAACTTCTTTTCTGTCTCTGTATTATGAACCCTTTATTTAAATGGCATCATACAAGATGGGGTCTTTTGTGACTGGCTTCGTTCACTTCTGTTATTTTCAAGGTTCATCCTTGTTGTACACATCATAATTTTATTCCTTTTTATTGCCCGTTAGTATTTCGGTGTGGACATACCACACTTTGTCCATTCACCCACAGGTGGACATCTTGGTTTCCAGTCTGGGGTTCCTATAAATAACAGTTTTATAAATACATTAAGTACTCGTTTTTGTTTGGAGATAGGTTTTCCTTTCTCTTGGGTAGATACCAAGGAGTAGAATTGCTTGGCTGACTGGTAGCTTCTGGTTTAACTTTTTGACAAATTGCCAAAACTTCCAGATTGGCTTCATCATACTGTCCCCATGCACCCCGCACCCAGAATCTTGTGTTTCTTAATAGATACTAGAAACCAATGTCGTTATTGTTTGGGAAAGTGACTGTCCACAACAATTTAAAAATTACCGCTAAGGTAACACAGTATGAAGGAAGACAGTGAGGCAGAGTTGACTGGTTTGTCAGAGGTTCAGTCAGGTACCCTGCGATGTCTTTTGGTAGAAATTACATGTATAAGAGCAACTTCATACTGCAGAGTGTCTTTTTTTTTTTTTTTAAACCAGAGCTACAAAAATGAGAAACCCTGAGTGTATTCAAAGTGTTGTCCAGCTCTCAACAGTTCCATGAGTTGGAAATATTATTGTCCCAGTTGTACAGATGGCAAAATTGAGGTAAAGAGGTGTTATTAATTTGCCCAAGAAGATAAAATTAGTGAGAGGCGGAGGTAGGATTTGAACCCAGGTATTGTTGCCCCAGAGAGATAATTCTTGCTCAACTCATTATGTTGTCTCAGTTTCCATCATATCAGCATCTGAACTGCTACCTTGGGAGCCACAAGATAGCACAAAGCAACACACAGCAACAGTGTGTGTGGTGTGTAGGAATGAAGTAGCCACGCCATGATCGGCTCGCGCTGTGGACAGCAGTAGCCACCGGAAGGAATGGGCTCCTTGGCTAATTCACAATAAGCATTCATGTAGGCGAGCATCATCCCTGGGCACCCGTTCATGTCCTTTTCTGCCTTTCCAGACACGACCAGGCACAGGTCTGCCTTGCCAGGACTCCGTATTCTGGAAATCTGTACCTCTCCAGAAGTAGGAAGAAAAAATGACCACATTCAAGGTGCATATGGCTTGCCTTTCTTGCTGTTAAAATTCCATTTCACTACTCAAAATGTTGCATGTTGGGGCACCTGAGTGGCTTGGTTGGCTAAGTGTTCGACTCTGATTTCAGCTCAGGTCATGGTCTCAGGGTCCTGAGATTGATCCCTGCCGTGGACATGTGCTCAGCCAGGAGCCTCCTTAGGATTCTCTATTTCCCTCTCTGCTCCTCCCTACAGCTTGTTCTCTCTCTCTCAAAAAAAAAAAAAAAAAAAAAAAAAAAATTTACGTATTTTTTTCATTTCTTGGGGTGACTCAGGGAGAACACCAGGCTAAATGACCTGCTTATTCTGTATTTGTTTTTAGCATTTGTCTTATTTTGTCATTATTCATTTTATTTAAAAAAAAGGTGCGTGATGAGCCCTGGGTGTTATACACACCTAGTGAATCATTGAGCACTACATCAAAAACTAATGATGTATTATATGTTGGCTAATTGAACATAATAAAAAAATATATATATAAAAGTAAAACTGAATGTGGACTAGTTAATAGGAATGCCCAGTTTTCCTCCTTGCTTCAGCACTGACACATCAACTATTTTTATTTTCTCATACTCTTTCTCGCGTATATTCACATTTATTAATATTCATGATATACATCTACTATTGACTTGTGCTTCTTCATTTAACATTATAGAACATTTGTTATTTGTGGTTATATCACATTCCTATTAAATTGATATGATTTTTAATTTTTAACTACCTGCTGCTGCTACACATTAAGGTGGCTTAGGAGTCTGTTTGAAGCAATACGGAGGTGATAATTTTCCTACCCGCAGTCTTTTTTTCTGCAAAAAAAAAAAATCACTTCTCCAAATAAGCTACCTATTTTTTTCTCCTCAGTGTACCAGGAGCTCAATAATGAAAAAGTATATTTGACACATGCAGCGTTAGAGTTCTGTAGATAGAATATTCAAATACGGCATATAGACTCTTAATCTCACAAAACAAACTGAGGGTTGCCGGGGGGAGTGGGGTAGGGAGAGGGTGGTGGGTTTATGGACATTGGGGAGGGTATGTGCTATGGTGCGTGCTGTGAAGTGTAAACCTGGCAATTCACACACCTGAATCCAGGGGCTAATAATACGTTATATGTTAATAAAAAATAAAAAGTTTTTAAAAATAAAATCTCTCTAAAAAAAAATATTCAAATACGGCACAGCGCAGTAAGCTCTAACTGCCACTTTATGCAAATCTCGGAGATTTTCACACAGGAGGCGCAGGATTCTGTCTGTTTTATGTCCAAGTCATACCCTGCATGTCACTTAACTGATCTGCTTTTATTCCATCATGTATTAGTTTTTTCAAAGTAACGTATAACCTCAGGTTTGTGTGTATGTGCATACACATAGACTTTATTTTTTAGGGCAGTTAAACATTCACAGTCAAATCCAGAAAGTACAGAGATTTCCCACCCGGCCCCCACACACCCACAAACTCTCCCATCGTCACCCTCCACCATCAGAGGAGTACACCTTTTACAGTAGGGGAACCTCTCTCCGTGCATCATTATCACACAGAGTCCATAGATTACTGTAGGATTCACTCTTGATGTTGTTTTCCGCTGGTTTGGACAAATTTGTAATGATGTGGCCCCACCATTATAGTACCCTACATAGTACTTTCATTGCCTTAAAAACCCTCAGTGTTCCACCTGCTTATCCTTCCCTTCCCTGAACCCTTGCCAACTACTGATCTTTTCTTAGACTCCACAATTTGTAGTCTCCATGGTTTTACCTTTTCCAGAACGTCATATGGTTAGACTCACACAGTATGTAGCTTTTCAGATTGACTTCTTTAACTTAGTCATATGAATTTAAGATAACCCCATGTTTTATCATGGCTTGATAGCTCTTTTTTTTTTTAAATCCTTAAATTATACTCTGGTCTGGATATACAGTTCATCCACTTACCACCTAAGGGGCATCTTGGTTGCCTTCAGTTATGAACTGAGGTATAACCTTAGTTTAAAACATCCAGTCTTGCTGGATTTGCCAGGCTCTTAGTTCTGTCTCTGCATTTACGCCTTAGAGCTGCTGTATAAGGGGGTTCCTGATCTCATCTTCCACTTAAGTATGTAAAATAAAAGAAATCTGCTCAGGTTTACACAGGAAACCAAGCATCAGAAATGTTAGCTATTCTGTTGAGTAAAAGTGACAGATAAGAAGATACATCTCTCAGTGCTGTCCCTCTCAGTGAAGGTCGGTTTTAAGATTGAGACGACACATGCTTGGTGTTGTAGGAGGTGGTGACGTTCAAGGATGTGGCGGTGGTCTTCACCGAGGAGGAACTGGGGCTGCTGGACCCCTTCCAGAGGAAGCTGTACCGAGACGTGATGCTGGAGAACTTCAGGAACCTGGTTTCTGTGGGTGAGGACACGAACCCTCTGTAACTGAATGTTAGTTCCAAGAATGGGTTCATATCCTTGGGTTTTCAAGGTTTTAGGGCCCTTGAACTGGTTCTCTGAGTTTGGGGATCTGACTTCCCTAATATATGTGGGACTCGCAGAGAGCATTGTTTTTTTACCAACAGGTAGATCTTTGTTTTGTTGAAGAAATGTAAATGGATAGTATACAGCTCTACCTTACCTATTTCTGATCCTATCATGAGTTATAAAACTAGTACAGTGAGTCCTGCTAGCAACTTTTAATGAAATAAACAAATTAGTTAATAGCAATCCTCCTGACACTCTTCCGAAAAAAATCAAAGAAGAGTAAGTACTTCCTAACTGATTCTGTATACATGTAGGAGACTTGGCAAATGATATTTCTTCCAACGGGTCATGAAAACAAATGTTTGATAAACACTGCTTCTGGTTGCTTGAAGAATATGAAGTAGGAACCCCGTTTTCCAGTGAATCTTATCTAGAACGTGTTGACTTTAAGCATATGACTTTGTGTGTTCTCAGGGCATCAACCATCCAAACGAGATGGAGTCCACTTGGTAAGAGAAGAAAAGTTTTGGATGATGAAGTTAGCAACCCAAAGAAAAGGCATTTTAGGTAAGAACCAGGAAGCCGTGAGTCTTGGAGGCAACTCTCTGGTCTGTTTGACATTTCTCCGTGCTTATTTCGATCACCTTGTTCTAAATTGCCGAACCTCTTTCCTGGATTATCACAACAGCCTCTGTGTGGGTTGTCCTGCTCCCACCCTTCCCATCCTACATCTGTTTTCCACAGAGTAGCCAAAGGGATCCTTAGGTAATGTAATTGACATTGCCATTCCTCTGGTCAAAATCCATTATGGCTGGGCGCCTGGGTGGCTCAGTCCGTTAAGCGTCTGCATCTCAGGTCATGGTCTCAGTGTCCTGGGATTGAGCCCCATGTTGGGCTCCCTGCTCAGCCAGGAGTCTGCTTCTCCCTCTCCCTCTCCCTCTGCCCACCCACCCCCACCACTTGTGCTCCATCTCTCTCTCTCTCAAATAAATAAATAAAATCTTAAAAAAAAAAAAAAATCCATTATGGCTTCTTTTTTTCCCCCTGCCCTACAGTTAAAACCACTTAAAGTGGCTCCTGGATCCCCCCAGAGTCTGCTCTGCATCCCCAGTCCCTCTTGTTTGAATATATCTTCTGTCCTCTCTCTCTTATTCCATTTTTATTTTTCTTCCAAGGTGTTTTTTTTTTTTTTTTTTTTAATTTTTAAGTTATCTGTACAACCACCGTGGGGCTTGACCTCAAACTTATGACCTCAAGATCAAGAGTTGCAGCCAGCCAGGTGCCCCTCTCACTCCATTTTTCCACCCGTGTTGTTCCCCCTGCTGTTACTCAGACCTGCCAAGGATACTGTACATTGCCTATTGCTGCCGTATCAAATTACTATGAATATAGCAGACTAAACAATAAACTTTTAGTGTGTTTTTGTCATTCAGGTATGAACTCTAACACATCTCACTGGGATAATACCAAGGTGTCTACAAGGCTGCATTCCTTCCTGTCTCCTACCTTTCCGGACCCTTACGATGACATTGCTTCCTCCCAGACAATCCAGAATGTTCTTTCTGTTTTTCTGATCAGCTGATTAGCACCTTTCATTGCCTCTGCAACCCAATTAACATAACATAACATGTTCACAGGTTCTGGGGATTGGACATGGACATCTTCCAGGAACCATTATTAAGTCTGTTACAGAAGCTTCTCCCTCGGGCTCCTTTACTTCTTCATTCTGCCAGGAATCTTCTTTCACCAAAAATCTTACTGGTTCTTCTCTTCCTCGTCCAGGTCTCTGCTGGGTTTTAATACCATGCATGACGCAGGCCTTCTAACCATTCTGTGTAGAATACAATGCTGTTGTCACTCCTCTTGCCTTCTGTTGTGTCTCACATGCTTTTGTTTACCTCTCACTTCTCTCTCCCCAGTGGGTATAATCTGCAGGAGGAGAATTTTAATTGTTTTGATTACTGATGTGTCCTTGGTGCCTAGGCCAGCAGACGGATGCAGCAGATACCTATAAATATTTATTCACTTTGCGAATGAATTCATGGATAGGAGAATTTAACTGTATTTCTTGCTGTTGGTGATGCAGAACACTTTATTTTTCTGAATGCTTATTATAGGCTTTTATTTTTATTTATTTTTTTATAATTTTTTTTATTAACATATAATGTATTATTAGCCCCAGAGGTAGAGGTCTCTGTTATTACAGGCTTTTAAATTTATTTCACAGCTCACTAAAAGTCTTTAGTTTGCACCTTGAAAAAACGGATGCAAAAAAGACCAGGTTATTTATGTGCCAAGTTTTCCCACCCTATTTTCAAAGAAACAGCCCAGAAGCCTTGTAAGAAAACAGGACATAGTTTTCCTTTTCACCACTCCATGACTCATGGCAACAGCTAATAAGTGACCATAAACCAGAGTGAATTGAAGATATTGAGGAATATTTCTTGTCTTCAAATGGCTGCCTATATAATTTCTACTTATTTAGATGACTTGGAGTGTGGTTGTGTGTTTCTGTACGAGCACTTGACCCAGCTCCCAAGGACCCCTCCAAGCACTGTTGTTGTGACCACACCAGGGAACATCCTTTCCCTGTGGCTTTCCTTTTGTAGTCTTTTCTGGGAAGAAAAACTTTTTTTTTTTTAACATTTTAATTCCAGTTAGTTAACATACAGTGTTACATTAGTTTCAGGTGTACAGTATAGTGATTCAGCACTTCCGTACATCACTCAGTGCTCATCACAGGGCCCTCCTTAGTCCCCATCACCCATTTCACCCCCCTCCACCTCCCCTCTGGTGACCAAAATTTCTCTGTAGTTTCTTGGTTTGTCTCTTTTTGGTTTTTTTCCCCCTTTGCTTATTTGTCTTCTTTCTTCAGTTCCATGTATGAGTGAAATCATATGGTACTCGTCTTTCTGTGACTTATTTTAGTTAGCATTATACTCTCTAGATCCATTCATGTCATTGCAAATGGCAAGATTTCATTCTTTTTGGTGGCAGAATAATATTCCATTGTATATCTCTATCCACCACATCATCTTTTTTTTTTTTTTTAATTTTATTTATTTATTTGACAGAGAGAGATCACAAGCAGGCAGAGAGGCAGGCAGAGAGACAGGAGGAAGCAGGCTCCCTGCTGAGCAGAGAGCCCGATGCGGGACTCGATCCCAGGACTCCGAGATCATGACCTGAGCCGAAGGCAGCGGCTTAACCCACTGAGCCACCCAGGTGCCCCCACCACATCTTCTTTATCTGTTCCTCGATCAATGGACACTTGGGCTGCTTCCAGGGATACCTGTATCCCTTTGAATCAGTGTTTTACTATTCTTTGGGTAAATACCCAATACTGCAGTTGCTGGGTGGTAGTATAGTTGTATTTTTAACTTTTTCAGGAACCTCCATACTATTTTCCACAGTGACGGCACCAGTTTGCATTCCTACCAACAGTGCGATAGGGTTCCTTTTTCTCCACATCCTCGCTGGCACTTGTTTCTTGTGTTTTTGATTTTAGCCATTCTGACAGGTTATTTTGAAAGGGATTGCATTAAATGTGTAGATTGCTTTGGGCAATATAGACACTTTAACAATATTTGATCTTCCAATCTGTGAGCATGGGATGTCTTTCCATTTCTTTGTATCATCTTCAGTTTCTTTTATCAGTGTTTTATAGTTTTCAGAGTACAGGTCTTTCACCTCTTCGGTTAGCTTTATTCCTAGGTATCTCATTATTTTTGGTGCAATTGTAAATGGGATTGATTCCTTAATTTCTAATTCTGCTGCTTCATTATTGGTGTGTAGAGACACAACACATTTCTGTACATTGATTTTGTATCCTGTGACTTTACTGAATTAATTTAATTCAGTAAATTTAATTAATATCAGTTCTAGCATTTTTTTGGTGGAGATGTTCAGGTTTTCTATATGTAGTATCATGTCATCTGGAAATGGCAAATGTTTTACTTCTTCCTTACGAGTTTGGGTGCCTTTTATTTCTTTTTGTTACTTCCTAAAGCTAGGACTTTCAGAACTATGTTAAATAATAGTGGTGGGAGTGGATATTCCTGTCTTATTCTGACTGTAGAGAAAAAGCTCTCAGGTTTTTCCCTTTGTGGATGATGTTACCTATGGGTTTTTCGTATATGGCCTTTATGTTGCCTTTAAGCCTACTTTTTGAGGGTTTTTACCATGAGTGGATGTTGTACTTTGTCAGATGCTTTTTCCACATCTATTCAGACGACGATATGGTTCTTATCCTTTCTCTTATTGATGTGATGTACCACGTTGAATGATTTGCAAATATTGAACCACCCTGGCAACCCCAGAATAAATCCCACTGATTGTAGTGAATGATTTGTTTACTATGTTGTCGGATTTGCTAGTATTTTGTTTAAGATTTTTGCATCTGTGTTGATCAAAGATACTGACCTGTGGTAGTTCATTCTCTCTCTCTCTCTCTCTCTCTCTCTCTCTTTTTTTTTTTTTTTTTGGTGGTGTGTTTATCTGGTTTTGGTGTCAGGGTAATACTGTCCTCATAGAATGAATTTGGAAGTTTTCTTCCCTTTTCTATTTTTTGGGATAGTATGGTTTGGCAGAATTCACCTGTGAATCCATTTGGTGCTGGACTTTGATTTGTTGGGACTTTTTAGGTCACTGATTCAATTTCTTTGCTGATAATTGGTCTATTCGAATGTTCTATTTCTTCCTTTTTCAGTTTTGGTAGGTTATATGTTCCTAGGGATTTATCCATTTTCTTCTAAACTGTCCAATTTGTTGGCATGGAGTTTTTCATAATACTCTCTTGTAATTATTTGTATTTCTGTGGTTGTTTATTTCTCTTCTGTCATTCGTGATTGTATTCACTTGAGTCCTTTCTCTTTTTCTCCTTGTAAGTCTAGCTAGGGCTTACTTAGTTTTAATGATTTTTTCCCAAAGAATCAGTTCTTGACTTCATTAATCTATTGTTTCTGTATCATTTATTTCTGCTCTAATCTGTATCACTTACTTTTTTCTGCTGGTTTTAGGTTTTGTTTGTTGTTCTTTTTCTAGGTCCTTTTGGTATGAAGTTAGGTTGTTTGAGATTTTTCTTCTTGAGGTCAGCCTGTAGTGCTATTAAACTTCCCTCTTAGAACTGCTTTTTCTGGGCATATGGGTGACTCAGTCAGTTAAGCACCTGCCTTTGGCTCAGATGGTCATTCCAGCAACCTGGGATTGAGTCCCACATGCGCTCCCTGCTAAGTGGGGAGCCTGCTTCTCCCTTTCCTTCTGCCCCTCCCCCTGCTTGTGCTTGCTCGCTCTCTCTCTCTCTCTCTCTCAAATAAATAAATAAAATCTTTTAAAAAATGAACCACTTTTTCTGCATCCCAAAGGTTTTGGACTGTTGTGTTTTCATTTATTTCCATGTACTTTTTATTTCTTCTTGTATTTCTTGGTTGGTCCATTAATTATGTACTAGCATGTTATTTAATATGCATGTATTTGTGGTCTTTCCAGATTTTTTTCTTGTGGTTGACCTCTACTTTCATATCATCGTGCTCAGAAAAGATGCATTATATGACTTTGAGCTTTTTAATTTGTCGATGCTTGTTTTGTGGCCTAATATGTGATCTGTTCTGGACAGTGTTCCATGTACACTTGAAAGAATGTGTATTCTGCTGTTTTAGGATGTTCTTAGTATGTCTGTTTTTTTGTTTTTTTTTTTTACCTTAATATGTCTGTTAAATCCATCTGTCCCAGTGAGTCATTCAAAGCCATTGTTTCCTTGTTTATTTTCTGTTTAGATGATGTGTCCATTGATGTAAGTGAGGTGTTAAAGTCCCCTGCTATTTTTTTTTCCTTTTTTCAAAGATTTTATTTATTTATTTGACAGACAGAGACCACAGGTATGCAGAGAGGCAGGCAAAGAGAGAGAGGAGGAAGCAGGCTCACCGCCGAGCAGAGAGCCCGATGCGGGGCCCGATCCCAGGACCCTGAGATCACGACCTGAGCCGAAGGCAGAGGCTTAACCCACTGAGCCACCCAGGTGCCCCCCCCTGCTATTTTTTTTCAAGATTTTTATGTATGTATTTGAGAGAGAGAGTGTGTGTGTGCAAAAGCAGGCAGAGGCACAGAGGAAGAGGGAGAAGCAGGCTCCCCGTTGAGCAGGGAGCCTGATGCAGGATTTGATCCCAGGGTTGACCTGATCCAAAGGCAGAAGCTTAATTGACTGAGCCACCAAATGCCCCAAAGAAAACTATTTTAAAGGGATAGTTTATTAAATACAACCATAAACTAGTATCTACCAAGAGGTACACACTCACCTATTGGTAGTTTTCCAAGTTTTTACCCTTAGAACTTCTTTACATTTGAACAAATAGTTTAATGAAAGACTTGCTGAGTTCCTGAACTAAGTTTTCAGACCTTTTAGAACACAAGCCCTACTAGGAAATACTTCTTTTAGTGTATCCAAAAGAAATATTGGGGAGCCTGGGTGGCTCAGTCAGTTAAGCGGCTGCCTTTGGCTCAGGTCATGATCCCAGGATCCTGGGATCGAGCCCCACATCAGACCCCTTGCTCAGTGGGGAGCCTGCTTCTCCCTGGCCTGCCATTCCCCCTACTGGTGCTTGCTCTCTATCTCTCTCGCTCACTCTCTCTATCAAATAAATAAACAAAATCTAAAAAAAAAAAAAAAAGAATTCATGCGTATGTAGATTTATACGGATGACTTTGTAAGACAATTCATAGAGTCACTCCACTCCTGTGAGTAATGATGCTCAGATAGTTACTGTCCCTTTTTCCTAAATGCTTATTGTATGATTTTAAATTTATTTTACAGCTGACTAAAAGGCTGCAGTTTTCAATTAGAAAGACTGTGGTGAAAGCCTAATTTATCTACATTCAAAGATTTCTCATACTCTGTTTTGAATGAGAGACTCCAGAAGCCTCAGAAGAAACCAATTCATAAACTTCATATAGTTTTTTCACCCCTCCTGGTTCTTGTCACCTTTGATTCTTTTATCAGGAACACCACCCTCCTTGTGGGTATTCTGACTTCACAGCAAAACTACAGTTTCCTCTCCCTTTTTAATTTCAGCTCGGGTCATGATCCCAGCATCCTGGGATCGAGTCCCACATTGGGTTCCTTGCTCGGCAGAAAGCCTGCTTCTCCCTCTGCCTGCAGTTCCCCCTGCTTGTGCTCTTGCTTTCTCTCTCTGGAAATAAATGAATAAAATGTTAATTTCAGATATCTTAATTAAGTTTCTGTGTGTATTAACACAGGAAAATAAGATGAATTACACACATTGTGTAGAATTTGCAGAAATACTTAGAATATATAGCTATAATCAGTTCTGGGTGCTTGATACATAGGATTGCAAATTGTTTAAGCAACTACAAAGTTTAGTGGGAAAGTTTACATGGATCTCCTGGCACTCCACACCAACTACAGGTTTGAGAGGATCCCAAAATTACCTTCAGATTGAATCATTTTCTAAAAGGACTGGTAGAATTCACTGAATACTGTTTTACTCACAGCTGGCATTTATTACAGGGAAGGGTACACCTTACACTCAAGCAAGAGAAAAAGTACTTGAGAGGGAGTTTAGGGAAGTGCCAGATGCAGAGTTTCCTTTCCATTGGGTCAGGGGTGTGTTATTATGTTACTTTGCAAAAAGAAGGTGTACAGTTAATACACAGGATGTTACCAATTAGGAAAACTCACCTGATCCTGTGTCCAGAGTAATTACTGGAGCTCTGTCATTTGACCAGTATAGACTGAATGGTTTCATATGGTTTTTCTCAGTCCCTTGGTTCACACCACCAGGTGATTGAAAGCCCCACCTAAAATCATATTCTTGGTGTTTCTGCTGTGGTCCGTCTCATCCCTAAATCATACTGTTAAACTGCCTAATGTGATCAAAGACCCTACGGCACTCCTTTGAGGCATGACATGCCAGGGGCTTAGAACTGTCTCTGACATGTTGAGGACAAAGGCCTTCACTGTGTATATAATTTACTTGCCCCATAATTTACTATTTAAGAGTTTACTTCTGTGCTCAGTTAGTTGTGTCTGACTCAGTATCAGCTCAGGTCTTGATTTCAGGGTGGTGAGTTCAAGCCATGCTGGGCATGGAGCTTTTTTTTTTTTTTCTTTTTTTTAATAAGTGTTTACACTGACTTATGATATTCAATAGAAACAGCAAAATTAACCTGTATCATGATCATTTTTGTTATTAAGTCTTTGATTTCTAATTTGTCTATCACATATGAGGCTTGGAGTGATTCTAAGTTTGTTTCATTGATGCTTAGTGCATAGGAGCCTACTGGACTACCTCTTGGTTTGTGTAGGCATTTAAACCAGAGACCATGATATACACTAGAAGGATGTAGGGATTCTGTCCTGGATTCATTAAAATCCCATGCTCTTTGCCAACTGCTAAATGGTTGAAGACACTGAACAAAGCTTTCATTTGTCCACATCTGCATTCTCTGTCATTTTAGGATACAAAGTCCAACATGAGATGGAGACTATTGCTAAAGCAGAACCACATGAAGAATTTTCCTCCTGGCAAATCTGGCAACAGATTGCTAAAGACTTAGCCCGGTATCAAGACTCCATGATAAAGAGTTCTCAATTCTACAAACAACATGATTTACCTGGCCAGGTTGGGACAGGACTGCCTATAACTCACTCAGGCCAGAAAACTTACCAGGGAAATGCGTGTAAAAAATTCTTCAGTGATATCTCCAACTGTGATCTTCAACAGTTAAACTCAGGAGAGAAGTCTCATACATGTCATGAGTGTGGGAAATGCTTCTTTTATAGCTCAGCACTTCGTATTCATCAGAGAGTTCACCTGGGAGAGAAGCAGTATCGGTGTGATGAATGCGGTAAGGAATTCAGTCAGAGCTCACATCTGCAAACTCATCAGAAAGTCCACACCATAGGGAAGCCATTCAAATGTGAAGAATGTGGGAAAGGCTTCAGTCGTAGATCAGAACTTAGTAATCATTGCAGGTTACACTCGGGAGAGAAACTTTATAAGTGTAAGGGATGCGGGAAGGCCTTCATTAATGCTTGTCATCTTCAGGACCATCAGAGAATCCACACTGGGGAGAAGCCATTTAAGTGTGATATCTGTGGTAAGAGCTTTCGTCGTAGATCGGCACTTAATACTCATTGTGTAGTCCACACAGGAGAAAAACCATACAGATGTGAGGATTGTGGGAAGTCCTATACTTGGCGTTCACGTCTTCGTATCCATAAGAAAGTCCACATGGGACAGAAGCCACACAAATGTGAGGAATGTGGAAAGAGCTTCTTTTCTAGGACACATCTTTATTACCACCGGAGATTCCACACAGAGGAGAAACCCTATCATTGTAAAGAATGTGGAAAGAGCTTCAGATGGGTCTCCCCTCTTTTGACACATCAGCGAGTCCACAGTGGAGAAAAACCATTCAAATGTGAAGAGTGTGGGAAGGGATTTGGTCAGAAATCATGCCTGCAAGCTCATCAGAAAGTCCACACCAGAGAAAAACCATACAAATGTGAGGAGTGTGGGAAGGGCTACAAGACAAGCTTGGATCTTGATGTGCACCAGAGTGTGCATATGGGAGAGAACCCATACACCTGTAGGGCATGTGGTAAGCACTTCACTAGGACCTCAAATCTTAAAGTTCATCAGAGAGTCCACACTGGGGAGAAACCATACAAATGTAATGTGTGTGGTAAGGTCTTCAGTCAGTCTGGACATCTAAAATCTCATCAGAGAGTTCACACAGGGGAGAAACCTTATAAGTGTAAGATATGTGGTAAGCAGTTCAGTTCAAGTTCATATGTTAAAATTCATCACAGAATCCATGCTGGTGATAAATTTCATCCAGTCTCATAGGAAAACAGTAAAGTGAGTGTTTCATCCATAGCTGAATATATCTCCGTGATCTCAAGATCACACAAATGGTGCAATGAGGGCTTTAGTTAAGGCCTTAGCAGTTGAAGTTATCACTCAAGAAACAGGCTGTTGGGCGCCTGGGTGGCTCAGTGGGTTAAGCCACTGCCTTTGGCTCAGGTCATGATCTCGGGGTCCTGGGATCGAGTCCTGTGTCGGGCTCTCTGCTTGGCGGGGAGCCTGCTTCCCTTCCTCTCTCTCTGCCTGCCTCTCTGCCTACTTGTGATCTCTCTCTGTCAAATAAATAGGTAAAATCTTAAAAAAAAAAAAAGAAAAGAAAAGAAACAGGCTGTTGAAATAATCTTTCCTTAAGCACTTAATCAAACTCTAATGGATATTAAAATTGATGTCTCTTGGAATATAATCTTCATGAGGGCAAGAAGTTTATTTGCTGCTGAATTTATATAATAAACATTGAGTAGCACTCTGTATGTGCACTTGGTACTTGTTTGTTAAATGAATCAAAGGGAAGAGAGAGAATTCGGGAAGATGGCAGAGTAGGAGGACCCTAAGCTTGCCTCCTTTCATAGATACAGCTAGACAACACATCAGTGTAAGTGACCCAGAAATCGACCTGAAGCCTGGCATAACAAACTCATGAGCTAAAGTTAGAGAAGAGGCAATATCAAAGAAGACAGGCAGGGCAAAGATGCAGTTTGAGAGTGAAACAGAGTGTGTCCATCTGTGGTGGGGACAGAGCCAGAGCGGTGAGGAGAAGGCAAAAAACACATTATCACAGGGAAGACAAATCCCCATAACATTTGGCTTCGAAAGTGAGAGGGGCCAAATTCCATGAGTTCTTACAACCAGTGGGACTTAAAGCCTGGATTTTCAGTTTCTGTGGGCTGGGCTCTAGGAGAGCATGGCAACCCACCAGTGGAGATATAGCCAGGAATCAGCAGTTTGAAAACGTCAGGGGCAGACGGGAGACAAAGTGACTTAATTCATCTCAGAGCATGGCCTGGAGAGGCAGAGATCATGGGGACACCCCTCCAGGAACAAAGGAGCTGGTAGGCCCCATTTCCCTCCCGGGCCCCCCAGCATAAACGCATGGCCACCTGCTTACAAGTTAGGTAAGGAGCAGTGCCAACGCTCCTTACCTAACTTGCTTACACCGAGCCCTGCCCCCTGTGGTCCAGTGGATCTGCCTTTCCCAGGCACACTTGCTTCAGTCCTGGCACTGCAAGCCCCTTCCCCTGGGAGAGTAGAGCAAATTCCACTAATACCTCGTCTCCCGACCTGCATGTTTTATGGGACATCACATCCAGAGGTGGCAGTGGCAGCAGGTCTCATTTCACATGTAGACAGACCCACAGTAGGATGTGCCTCAGCCAGCTGAAGACCAAACACTCCCACAACAGGCAAAGGGAGCTTCCGCAGATGACCAGACTGAAGGAAAAGGCAGCCAGAACACAACAGCAGGCATAGGCAACACACTTGGGAGACATGCCCCGAAGCGACAGTTCCCAGGGAACAGGAGACTCCTTCCTGAGGCCATTACCGCCAAGAGACATAACTGACTTTAATAAGATACAGAAATAGAGACAAAATGAGGAGAGTGGCATATCCCCCAAATGTAAAACGACCAAACCACAGCAAAAGACTAAAGCAGATATAAGTAATATGCCAGATAGAGAATGTAATGTAATGTTCATAAAGATACTGGACTTGAGAAGAGTGGTCTCACATCAGTGAGACCCTACCACAGAGATTAAAAAGACCCAATCAGAGATGAAGAACACAATAAATTAAAACACTTGATGGCATAAATAGGTTAGATGACACAGGAATGGTTAATGATCTGCAAGACAGAGAAATGAAAAGTACTCAAGCTGAGCAAATGAGACGGGAAAATTATGCAAATTGAGGATAGTCTTAGGGAACTCTGACTCCATCAAGCAAAATAGCATTTGCATTGAAGGGATCCCACAAGAGAGAGAAAAGGGAGCAAAAAGTTTATATGAAGAAATAGCTGAAAACTTCCTTTTTGTGGGGAAGGAAACATAGCCAGATCCAGGAGGCACAGAGAACACTCCTAAAATCAGCCCAGGAAGGTCCACACCAAGACACATAGTTCTGAAAATGGCAGAGAGTAGTGATAAAGGGAGAAGATGCAATATTTAAAAATTGTATCTGTAAAAGGAAACCAGCAAAAAAAAAAAACAAAAACAAAAACAAAAACTTCAGAGAAATCGGAATTGAAATCCAGAAATGCACAGTACTGCATTCCACAGCATTATTTTGATAGTATCCTATTGCGTTTGGCTCCTGGCATAACCTTTGCCTCTATTCTGTGGTTGGTTATTTTCTGGGTCTTGATGTCATGTTCCATCGGTTTGTATGGTAGAAATTCAACTCTTTTGTGGTTTTTCTCATTCAATTTTAACTTTGCAATAATTGGCCATTGCACATAGCTTAATTGGACTTTCTCAACAATGTTAAGGCAAGGGTTCAAAGTAACAGAAGTGTCAGATTTAGTAATGATAAAATTTTCTTAATTTTGAGTTCATCATTAATTTTCAAATTTCTGCATTTCTATATTTGATCTTAGCCAAAAGGCTGAGAAGCGATCAAATTTCTGCATTTCTGTGTGATCTTTTATATAATTGCCTTCTAATTGTAGCATTTTTAAAAAAATAAACTTCTCTGGTAGAAGCTATGCCAAATTTGAAGGACATTTAACATATCAGCTTCCCATATTCTCCCTCATCCCCGTAAAATAAATAATAGAAAAAATTGGGGATTTGGTGCTTTCGTCAGATATATTAATTACTGGTACAGAAATGACAGTTAACATGTTTTTCTTGCTTGGTGACAATACATATCTTTTGAAAAGCAGTATATAGCAGAATGTGAACATGTAACTGTGACCTGGAAATCAAACTAGGAACATATGATTATGAGAGTCAAACAATGAAAAGATGAAAACCACATCAAAAATACCGCAGTTTTTAAAATGGAAATAATAAATGTTCACAATAAGAATTTGTTTAAATTTCATATGTTCCCATAATAACATGGGGCCATTAAAGTAATGGACATGTAATATCAGGAGAACATAATACAGGCTTTGTGAAATCAGACCATACCCTTCATAGTATAATAAAATTCATAACTCTCTTGTGTGTATGTGTGTGTTTTGTGTATATCCATATATAATGTGGAAGTTGATACTCAGTAATATTCTCTGGCAAGGAGTATCTCCAGCAGACTCCACACTAGAGCGCAGAGCCAAACGCAGAGCTTGATCCCATGACCCTGAGATCATGACCTGAGCTGAAACTCAGAGTTGGACACTTAACTGACTAAGCCACCCAGGCGCCCTCTATTATGTTTTTATTTTTCAACATCAGTTTGATCAAACTAGTAAATTATATGCAATAATATTTGAAAAATTATTTATATGAGCCCCTTACAGTTAAAGTCACCTAATTAAGATTGCTTTACATTATATGACAGATAAGATCAAAATTAACAAACAGGACTCAAGCAGTATTCAAAAACAAATTTTTGCTTTGAATACAGCGATAAAGTAATGATTAGGATCAACCGTCTTTGTAGTTAATGCACAAGATGCGTCTTGAGGCATAAGCCAGGGAGCAGAAACAAATACTGGAGGTAGTAGTAACACGGTTATATGGTGGGGGTTAAAAGAAATGATTTGAAGAAAAAATGCATGGGTAGAGATCATAGCATAGTAGCCAAACCTCTAAGAAGAAAGAGCAGTTTTGTATGCCTTTCCACACTTCTTGGACACCATGGTGATATTTTAAGTGTATTGACTAAAGGGCTTTACTTACAAAGTGTATCTAGTAGATTTCTTTTCTTTTTTTTTAAGATTTTTTTTTTTTCGAGAGAACATGAGAGGAGAGAGGCTCTTACCAGTAATGAAATGGAGTTAAGTCTTCCCAAATCCATGTTCCCTGACACCAGCCAAATCCAGGCTTTCAAGCAGGCCTAAGTAAGGATCCCTGCCTCAGAACTGCTATATTAACTTTCCTCTATACATGGTCTACAGAGATCTATGGCCCATAATTTTTTTCTCCTTTTAAAATGTCATTGAATACTAGTAAGTCATCACCAAGGTAGTTATTTGTAACAAATCTCACCAGATTAAGCCAAAAGTACTTAACTCGTAAAACCCAAAAGACTACAGGCGGGGCTTACACCTAACCTGCTTTGCAGGGGTCCTCAAGGTGGTCCCAGGTAGTGACAACCTGAGACTGGCTGGCGTGTGTTCATGTTCATGTCTCCCAAAGTGGGAGGCCGAGCCTCCCGACCACAATCAGTAGTAAATGCTTAGATTTGTATCTAGTTCCACAGCTTTTGTGAGATCACCCAGCTTCACTCCCACTTGTCACCATGGACTTCACTTTTCTTATATGGTCCCTATGGATTTCCTTATCTTAGCTTTGAACTTACCTACATTTGATAGGGATTGTTTGAGGTCATTATCCTTTCTCATAATAGAAAGGTCATTATCCTTTCTCATCATAGATGTCATTAACATCTAACCATATTGGTAGGATATCCATTTAAAGACCTGAGTCCAGTACAACAATATCTCCTGTTTATTTGACACACTGTGACTGATTCTAAAGTTATTAGAACCTCTGCCTTATTCATCTGGAGACTGACATTTTGTTACATATGCCATGTCTTACTACAAATTATTTAATTCTTGAATGATTTGTTTAAAGTATAAATACTTTCATATTTTTTTTACTGACAGGAATAATGCCTGGACATCGCAAAGAAGCACATCAATAGAGGAAACTCAAAAGAATAAAGTGGAAAGTAGTAGGAACTCACCACTATTAATATTTTGATGAGCATTCTTCAGTACCTCTAGGCATACAAGTAAGAGTTATATAGAATTTTCTAAACTAAGAACGTAATGCATACTATTTTCTTTCCCTTTAAAAAATATTTTATTTATTTATTTGACAGAGATCACAAGTAGGCAGAGAGGCAGGCAGAGAGAGAGGAAGGGAAGCAGGCTCCCTGCTGAGCAGAGAGCCTATGCGGGGCTCGATCCCAGGACCCTGGGATCATGACCTGAGCCAAAGGCAGAGACT